TAAATAAAATTATTGTCGAACCTGACTTCAGAATTACCCATCATTAGTCGATTACCTTTTAACTTTCGTATGCCATACTTTGTATCTAATTCTTTGGACAAGAGCTTAGAATCGAACATCTTCGAATACCTTACTACAGGTATGTCTTTAATAGGAGTACTTTGATGGGTAATTGTTGCTGTTGTATAAGAATCATCATCAGTTATTTCGTAATCAGGTGTAAGGCTTTCTTGTTTGCTTTCAACTTCTTCTTTAGGTTCTTCTTTCTTTATTTTCATTTCTTGAGGTTCCTCTTTAATAAGTGTTTTATCAGCTAATTGTTTAAGAGGAGTCACCATAGGTTTAAATATTTCACTTATGGTTTTTTGAGTCATATCTCTTCCAAGTTTAATCAACTTATGCTTTTGGCGTATTGCATCACTGGCTTTCGCTATTTGATGCAATATTTTTTTTCCTTGTTGCAACTCCGTAGTTTTCATAGTGAAACTTTGACAATCAAATAAATAATGTACAGTTTAATGTATTCTCGGTGAATTTATACTTTTGAAGCAATCAAATTCTCTTCTGTATCGCCTATTACTAAGATTACTAAGATCACTGTCTTTATCAATTACCAAGAAGCCATATTTATCATTATTCCAGCACATTGGACATATATCTCAAAAATGAGAATAAATCATGTCAATATTTACATGATCATCGTAAATGTGTTTTAAATTCATGTTATCTTGTCTGAAAAGTGAAAGAAAGTTTGTATTGTCACGTACCAAATGTTTTGGGATTTGTGCATAAGTTTGACAAAGATAGAAGCAGTCAATATCTCTAAGTCACCCCATACAAAAATAGGTTCGCATATTATCTTGTTTTTCACATGCTACGTCATCGAAAATCATAATTGAGTTGGGTTTCGCTTCATCCGGTTAATTTTCGCGTATTTGCATATTCTCAAAATCGAGATAACATTGGAGCTAGAAACGCAGCTGATAGAATACTTGCTGAAAAATCTTTGAAACGTGTTTTTGCGAGAGACGCAGATATTGCTGCTTTAGAAATTTCCAACGTCATGAAAGTTAAATCAAAATTGGGAATGGGTTTGAAAGAAAAAAAAAGGACAAAAGAGTTAAACATTTGCGAAAAGTTGTTAATTCAGCAAAGCTTACGTTACATTCTAGTTCAGATCCTATTAAATCTGCATTAGATGCTGCACAAAAGACTGTTCGCGATGCTAGTGGAAAGAAAAAAATTAAAGTTCCACGTATTATACCAATGCCGCAAAAAGTGGGAGGTATTTTACCTCTTATACCTCTATTTGCAGGTTTAAGTGCAGTCGGTGCACTAGAAACGCCAACCGTCAATTAGAAGAAGCTAAACGACATAACGAGAAAATGGAAGCAATAGCTGTGGGTAAAGGTCTACGTCCAAAACCGCACAAGAGAGGATTAGGATTGTATTTAAAATCGGCAAAGAAAACTTTTAAATTTACCTCATCGTGCACTGACTGATATTGAACTTCAAAAATATGCAAAAATCCTGAAAATACCCTTTTTTCGTGGTGTTTTTATGCGAAATGATCTTCCAAAATCTAAACCGTAGAAAAATGAATCAGCACTTATTAATCTCGACGATAAAACTGGACCTGGAACTCATTGGGTGGCATATAAAAAACGTGGTAATAAAGTTATATATTATGACAGTTTTGGCAATTTGCAGCCACCACATGAGCTTATAAAGTATCTTAATGTTGATAAGATACTGTACAATCATAAAAAACATCAAGATTACAGTACAGATAATTGCGGATACTTGTGTTGACACAAACGTCCATTCTAGAAGCATTTTATTTTCCACCAATTGAATTATCATTATCTAAAAAATATACCTTAGGACTTGTGGAATTGTTAACCTTCAATTTCATTCCAAATATTGATAACGGTAACAATAAATTTTATTATACACTCAATGGTGACGATAAAAGTATCAAAATACCCACAGGAAGCTATGAAATTGAAGACATTGAAAATTATTTGAAAGAAGCTGATACTCAATTATCAATTTCTATTAAGCTCAATAATAATGATCTACACAGTGAAGTTTACAGTAAAAATGCAACAATAAATTTCAAACCGCATGATTCTATTAGTAGTTTGTTGGGCTTGAGTCCACGAGTTATTTGACCAAAATTAACTCACACATCAGATTTACCATGAATCTTGACATAAGTCAGAATCAATTTGCCTTATCATATGATATGTATAACGATTTTCAAACAACATATTATGATGAAGAAGCAGAACTTCTGCTCACGAAAAGAAAATTTATTGATACAGCACCACTTGTAGTAATCGATTGTTCTAAACAAAATGAATCCTTAAAATCGGGATCAGTTGATGTTCGACTGGAGTTCGAATCATAAAGAGCTTTTCCTGCTAACACATCAGCCTATTGCTTGATCTTACATGATCGAATAATAGAATATAAACCCTTGAGTGCGCAAATGAGAAAACTAACATAATATATGGGAAAAATTTATATATTATATTATTATAATTACATTATTGTTATGATATATATTAATCAAATGTCATTTTTTTTTTGCTATAAATAAATTGTGTACACAAAAAAAAATTATCGTTTTCATTAATTTCCTGAAAAAATTAGTAGCACAAATAAAGAAGAATGATAGCCAATCCAGGATCGGTATTATAGTTGAAGATAACTTATCGCTAATCGAAGATGGTAAAAATCGATATTATGGTTGATAATAACTTATCGCCAATCGAGATCGGTATTATCGCTGGAGATTATTTACCACGAATCGAGATCGGTAGTATCGCTGAAGATAATTTACCGCCAATCGACGTCGGTATTATCGCTAAAGATAATTTATCGCCAATCGAGATCGGTAAAAATTGCTGCCGATAACTTATCACTGTCGATAACTTACCGCTAAAAGTTACCGCGGTCGGTAATTAGTGCGGATCAAAACCCACTTTTTACCTCGGCTGGTATTGCCGGTGGATCTAGAACTCTCCTTATATATCTACTTACGCATAATTTTTTAATTATTTTTTTCAATTAGTTCGTAAGTTTCGAGCTCCAAATTTACTAAATGAAATTGATCAAAAAAACTTTATCGATTTTTTTATGAATGCTGGAACTACAGTCTTTACAATCTTTTAACGTTTAGTTGTCTTCCACTTGCATACCGAGTTTATGAAGATTATGGGCGATTTATTATTTTTCCGGAGGGAAGTTACAGTAATAGGTCCGATTTTTCGAATCCCGAATTTTGACATATCTCTTCACTGAGGGAAGGAACGAGTCAAAAGTACACTACAACGCAGGGCAATCGTGGTACGCTGCATGGAAGTAGTAAAAAATCCTCTAATATTAACTTTTTTTTGTCCCTCTATTCCTTAAAAATTCGCCTGATGCAAGGTGAATTTTATTCTGCTCTCGAATCATTTCACAAGTTGTATAAATAATACCTTGGAACTGGTCAGTTTTTTTCTGACCACTTTTTAGTGAGTCGCAGGGTACTTTTTAGTAGTTGCAGTGTAATATTTATTATTCAAAAGTGTTATATTTCTCCACACTCTGAAGCCGTGAGATTACAACGGTCGGTTGTCTTTGGGTGTATTCGTAATCACCATAAGCGCGATACGTATGCGTAGGCATACTGTTTTTTCAGTAGTGCAATAGCCTCCGTATAGTACGTGTCAATGTGAATCAAAAGTGATACAAATAAATTAAAATACTATTCCTTAGTCATATAGAATTGCAAGTATGATATGGGAGTGAAAAATTCTACGATTAGATCAATTAGATTCCATTGTGTTACCACACCTTGCAACAATCAGCAATGGTGATAGTTATATTGTAAGAAGATGGCCATAATATTTAAGATGTTATGTACAGTGAATCAATAAAAATTAAATAACTTATGTATGATTTCAAATTAAATCTAAGTTCTTCTTTTCGAAAAAAACCTTTTCATTAATTCATTTTACAGTCGAAGCTCGTTAGTGTTGTCGTTCCCCTATATCCCTACTACTCGTGAACCTATTTTCCTCATTGCGCATAAGAATGCGCAGAAAATAAAAATAGAGCAAGGATACATACGTGTGATACATAACCTGTATTTAACTTAATAGTTCGTCAATTTAATTTTATTTGAAAATATGGTATATTTTCTGCCTTTGATTTTTAAAATTTATCTATTATTCTATCTCATTTTCATTTAAATGATTTGTATGAAAAACATTGAATATCCGAATCGAAAAGTCTAGTCTAAAAAGAAACTTCAAATCCTAAATTCTTTTGATTTCTCATATGCCGCTTGATTATGTATACCGTTTTAATCCTCAAAATCCTCCCCTAGTGTGTCTACGTGCCTCAAAATCCTGCAAATATGATTGTTAGGAGTTATATAGACTGATCAGGAAAAATTTTTATTCCAAATTAATCTGACATTCCCTCAAAGTATTTCAGAAGTTACAATTCTATCGACTCATACTTTAGAAATAGGGCATTCAGGAGTAAGTAGGAATTAAATTATCATTTTATTCCATATAAATTCTAAATCTCCTAAAATCAGATTACTTTGCATAAAAATTAATGAAATAGATGGAATTGTCTCGTTTTGAAAAATTTGTTAACTTAATATATTAAATTAATTAGAACATTGAAAATTTATTTATTCATTGATATTTGAAGAGTTCACTATTTTATGATAGGTAGAAAATGATATGAAGTACTAACAAATTTTATAACGAATAATTTATATGTACCTATAGCTCCAGCTAGTTTTTTTGCATTTCATTTTCATGGTCGAAACTCTGACCAATTACATGGATGCAATTATATGTACAATTGGTCGTTGTATAACATAACTTATTATAATAATTAAAATGATAGCAACAATTTACACTATCTTACGCTGTTAATTTGATTGTAACGTCATTGCTCTAGAAAATTCACTTAAATGTATTTTACTGGAACAAATAGTTCGAAGTTAAGAACTGTTTTATTTTTTATCCAACAAATTAGAGTGAATTGTGCTTTAAATCATGAAAATTATTTGTATTATTTCCATTTTATTTTATTCTTTGAATTGGGTTCAACCTCTTGACATTCCTGTCATTACCCAGATTCAGGATATCATAGGACTTGCTCATGACATTGGTGATATACTATCTGGAAATATTCCACTTCAAAATTTATTTACCACTCAATCGGATCCAATGGCCAAAGTAATGAAAAAATTAGATGATATTACTGAGAAAATAGAAAACCTGGATGTGAAGTTAGATGACTTATTGGCTTCAATTATCGCTCGACTTCCATTGGAAGATAACATTAACACTGATATACGTAATCTTCAAGAGTACATTTCTCGAATTGACGATATATATAGTTACTTCTTGGCATATACCAGGAATATATCAAATTTCAGCAATGATACACTCACAGAATTTGCCACTATTGTTACATCTGCGAAGTCTAATAACCTTCCAGACATCCTCAACAAGATTTTTAACATCATTGTGCCTAAAAAGACCGCACTCAATCGGATGAGCTTTTTGGAGAATATGGCACAAAGAAGAAAGGTGACAGCTTTTATTCATATAATTTCTGAGCTTTTGTCAAACCAACAAAATGAGATTAGGCAAAAATAAGTCAAAGGAATTATTTTCATGATTTTTTATTATAATTGAACTTTTTTTAAATATTTAATCGTCATTTAGTGAGTCGCAGCTATTTTTACCGTTTAATTTTACTTCTGCAATTGAATATGCTACTTTTCAAAAATCTAATGAGAAATTGAATCATATTACACTATCAATCTTAAGTATAGCAAATGTTTACCTGATAATTTTACGGTAAAAATGATAATTATCGATGAACGATACGCAAAACTATCGAATTGAAATCAATTCAATTTTCATTCTTCCAACTGGGACCTTAATCGTTTGGACCTTTCGGGCTGCACCTAGACCTTTTGTTTAATAACTTTGTTTAAACAAATAGAGTTGACAAACAAAGAAACATAGGTAAAATTTTTTTCAGCTATGACATTTTGGTTCTATTTTCTACAATTAATTAACTTAAAATAATTTTTAAGAACAAAATCAAATTTAACGAAAAACGTAAGAAAGATTTTTTCCATAAGTTTTTTTACAAAATCAAATAGTATCATTCTCTTAAAATTTGATTTTATATCCAAACAATATTCTATTTATTTTCAACAAAGTTATTCAAACAAATGAAATTGATTAATTGATCATACTTCAGTGGAAAGAGACCTCATTGACATGACATAAATCTTTTCCTCTCTAACACCCAATAATTCGAAAGATTTAATTGTGTTCAAGAATCATATTAAACTTCTATTTTTCAGAAACACACTTAAAGCACCCACACCTTTTATAAGCATAATGTGTTCTTCAAGTATACACTATACCGCTATAGCTACAAATTTCACAAATCTATTATTCATGGTTATGAACGATACTTTATTGGTTTCCAGATAATGAATCTTTTGGAGATGTGTAATCCTCAAATTTCGTATCAAAATCGGCTGTTACAGATTTACAATTTGATATCAATCACTGAAATGAAAGCTTTCTTGATGACTTCGTTTGCTTATAGATTGAAAAATGAATTAAAAAGAGGTAAGTATTTGTTTTATGCACCGGAAGCATGACAAGCGTAACTTATCATATTTGTAGAAAAGAACATGAATAAGTGATTTTAAATCGGTGAGTTAAGTAATTAAAAATGAAATTATAGTCAGAAATTACAGATTGAGTAAATCTTTCTATTATGTCGCTTATCGACCACTAAGAACTTTTCCTCTGCAGTTAGAATAAGTTACTTTTATCGTGGATTAATTTTACATAAAATATCGTATGTACCACAAGACCTAAACCCATCATTTGCTCATCGCAATAACAGATAACTTAGACTACTAAGTAAAAACGTCTCATTTAAACTAACGATACCGTTCAAATCATTTTTAATTACCAAAATTGTATCTTGTAGTTAAATCAAAAGGGGAAATTGACCGGGCTCGGAATAGTTTTATTGTGAGATTGGATAAATACTTGATAGAGTTCAAGAAGAACATGCTGCCAGCTTCAAGAGAAATTTTTCTTTGTGATCCTGAATCACTTACCGATCGTAAGCCGTAGAGTTCTTTAGAGTAATTCAAAAAAAATACATATTTAATGACACCAAATGTTATTTTAAACTTTTTAGAAGAAACTTATGTAGAGCTAGAGGGGCTCTTTAATGCTTACGTCATGAATGAATATGAAGTAAGTATGAATCCTTGTTCTACAACCTGTTCTCAAATCTGGACATGGACGCATCACCGTTGTTATAAACTCCATTATCAAAATTATTGCCCTAAACATCCTTGCAAAGGACTGATCCGTGACTGCGGTTGGATTGGTGGTGATGTAGACATCTGCGAATACGTAAGTGAATTATAACAATATCTACATATTCTAAAAAAAAAAAAAATTAGAAATTTATTGATAACTCAATTAGCCACTAATAACAGTTTCTTATTGTTCGTAAAAAATTTATAATTTAAAAAAATGTAAAAGAAAGCAGATTTCATAAAACGTTACAATTATTTACGATCATATTCTAACGGATGGTATGGAGAATGGAGTAAATGTCATTCTGAAAACATGACTTACCAACAAGTAAAAAGTGAGCTGTACCATTGGTACTCATGCGACATGTGTATATGTAGATGTGAGGAATCTTACGGTTCATCTAGAGCCATTAGAACCTTTAGTTTACGTCCCCAAATATCCAACATTGACGAAAACAAGTACGTTTCTTTTAGTTAATCTCTAAAAAGGCATTTTTTCATACATCATTAAATGTACTTGTTAATAATTCCAGAGTTGTATCAGACGTTAAATTTACCATGAAAGATAAAATGATTCACATCCAGATTGAAGAAACACCACTGCTGCCTCTTGGTCAGTTAGCCAAGAATGAGTCGTCTTGGGTACCTTTAGAAGATTTTATATATTTATCCAATATCACTGGTGGAGGCTGGGTCCAAATAAAAGACGGCAAATATATCCCTATGATACGAGACACAGATTTTGCATTTATTAGAAGAGATCAAAGAGTATTGAATCTCGATGAAATATCAGGTGGACCAAATTTCGTTCTGACAGGTGTTAGGTTGCGTCATGAATCAGAAAAATATAGTGATGATGCATCAGCAGGCAATATCAGCCCTCTTCAGATAGAGATTCATGTCACGCCTTTTAATTATTCCGATGGCAAATTGATGCCAACTGAAGAGAATCCATCAGTATGGATCACACCACTAACTCAGCCCAAATTGCCGCCAGCATATAAGAATCAAAGGTATGGGAATTTTTTGTACTACCCAAGTACTTAGATTCATTCCAATCATTATGTTTTCTTCCAGAAAAGAACTAAAAATAGGAGAAAAAGTTTATCGGTGGGAGAGTTCACCAAGTCTACCTAATGTTAAACCTAATCAGTATATTGAGTTCAAACAATCTTCTATTCATTCTGATGTTGGTCAGAGCACAATACCTTTCATGGACTCTCGACCTACTGCACCTTCTAGTCCTATAGCATTTGATGGACTTGGTCTCATGTACAGAGGTCATGAGAAATTCGGAGGATTTGTTCTTTTCAAAGCGATGACCATGGACTTGACCCATTACATGGATTCATCAATGACTGTTCAACAAGAGAGATACTACGCTAATCATGTTCGCAAATCTTTACCAGTTTTGCCGAATAAGAAATTAAACAAGCAATAATTCTATAATGTGCAATAGTTAAATTTCTTTAATTTTCTAGTAACTAGCTCAGACGTAAGCATTTTTATTAGACTTACGTACGTTTTTTTACTTCTTGCATAGGATTGCTAATCATTATCCGGCGTTAAATTTCCAGACGACAATCTTATATCTATGTGCTTCAAAAAATTGGCAGAAATATACGTAAATGACCGAAGTCTCTAAATCGGACGATAATCTTACGTTGATTTGGTTACTAGACTTAGTTAAAGACATGAAATGATCACTTTTTCCGATGATCTCAAGTTTACTTGTTGTTTAACGATCTGATTAATAAAATAATAATTTAATTCTTCATGATTTGGAAATCATTTTATTTTATTAGTTACTATCGATTCCTATACACATTGATCCTGTTGAAAAGATAGATTATTATCATATCTTTCTAATAAGCTATGAAGTACATATTAAATCACATCACATAAGTATAATAATATTTGCATGCTTTTGAAACGTAAATAAAAATTTTTCAAATTTTCTCTGTGTGTCTGTCCGGGGTAATCTTGGAAACAGCTGAATCGATTCTAATGAAACTTTGCAAACATAAAGAGGAAGATGTCAGTAATAGCATAGGCTACTTTTTGTTTATATAAACTTTTTATAGCAATTAAAGTTGCTATAAACAGTTTAAAACAGAATCTTTGCAGTATATTCGAGTGCTTCCAACGGAATTTTTCTTATGTTACTCAAAAACAAGTACTAGCGATGTAACATAAACTGGAACTGACTTTATCTGTTTCTAACAATTAAATTTTTTAATGGTCTATTACGATCCAAGGCCATTAAGTTAGATTCCCTGTTGTGTTTGACACGAAATTCGAGAGTTTCACGTTACGCGCGTTAGCTCTGCTTAAGCAATCCTATTTGGAAGGAGAAGTTCTATTGAATCCTATTGAAGTTCTTCTTCCTACAGAAATTTTCTGAATCCTATTTAGATGTCCCATTGAGGTACGCTAAATCTTATTCAATTTACCAATAGGATTTAATGCTACAAGAAGAATACTGTTGTCTCAGAATATCCTATAGAATAATTAAGAATCATATTCGATTCTTCAATAGGATTTTAGTGAATTTAATAGGACTTGTAAAATTACAATTTCCCTATTGAAAAGAGGCAATTCTTTTCCACTGTTTTAATAGGGTTTGATATATTTCAGTATGAATATTATTATCTAACATTTTCTCAGAATAATTCGCAACTATTTCAAAACAGCCCAGATAGACATAATTTATTAACATATTGACATCATGACATAGAATAAAAATTTTTATGTTGGTTATGATTCGATTTTGGACGAAATTATGTGGAATCATTTATATATGGGAATGATAACATACAATATACGTTTTGCGCTCATACACCATTCATATTGTCAGTATGCTTAAGTAGAATTCGTCAGGTATCATTAAGCGATGAGCTCAATATGAGGAATAAGGGTTCTGTTTTTTTTTGTCATGTGGCGGTATTTATGGAAACAATACAGTCGTCAAGTTGAGCTCATAAAACTTCGTCGAACGATAAGGCTATTCTAAATCTATCTCTTATTTTTGTGGGTACTAGCATCGAGTACGTTTTTTAATTGTTAATTATAATAAAATAAATTCTATACAGTAGTATTCAACGAAGTACTATTCATTGAAAGATTTAATGAAAATTTATTTGGTCAAAATTTTTTATAGATACAAGTAAAACTATGATTGAATATTACAACTGATTCTAATTTATAGCGATTCTAATTTTTTTTCGTTTTTTCGTGAATTGAGAAAATTTGCCAATTCAGCATCCATTTTCTGACGCGTACTCTGTCTACTATGTTTTTCCTTGTTTTAATGATCGTAAAACCTATTGAAAATGTCCCTTGAATTCGGGAAGTGTCAATTTCTTGTAGTGGGAAGTTGTTGCACCTGAGAAATAATATTGAATAGATATAATTGTACTCACTTATCATGGCTTTTATTATATAAGTCAAACATAATAGTTTTTTGCCTGTATTTTTCTCTGACTCCACTATTCCATAATAGGTGTATTGTTAGGCTCATTCCGTCGCGAATACCATGTTGTGTATGCATTGGCGTACATTTGATGGATCTTCGATAAATTTGATATAATTGAGCTAAAAATTTTAAACATTTATTACAACTATAGAATAAATTATTAACAGATAATAAAAAACAACTATACTTCACTAAATGCCTCTCCTTTCATCTTTCATAAAATTTATTAAATGCTTCCTTGGTGTTTAAAAGTAATTTTTTTGGAAGTGTAGTAAGGCGTGATCCAGTGTCATGAATTTTATTCCTGTTCAACCAATGCAAAGTATCATTAATATTATAATGATGAAAAAAAATGATTGTTCATTATTTAAATAGAAGACATTAAAAAATTTTTTGTAGGAAATCAATGAATTGAACGGAAAAGGACGACTTAGAAAATATTTCCTTGTTTCAATGTGCTACAATAGGATTCGATATATATTGTTTGATAGGTGTAATTTTGTCAAGTTTTTATAGGAAGACAATGAACTGAAAAGGAAAATACAACTTGAAAAACATTGATACAAGACAATGGTCTTGTATCAATATTCCTCGGTAAACTTCGATGTTTTTTAATAAGACTAATTTTCGTATTCTTCTGTAGGAAAGAAGATAATTTATTTAAATAAAACGATGTAAAAAATATTTTTTTACCATCGGATATTCTAATACGATTCTAAACATTTAAATAGGCGCAATGACTATGTCTCTGTAAGATATAAATAGATTGAAAAACAAAACATGACATTTTTAGTGGCATCATTTTTCAATACGATTTAATAGTTTTTTATAGGTTCATTTTCTTCCAGTTTCTATGAGAAGTAAACAAATTGAAAACGTAAATACGATTCGGAAAATATTTCTTCATCACGACCCAATGAACACCGAACCTTGCTGTTATATAACAGACACATAGCATGGTATGTTAATGTTAGTTATGTGTATGTAATGTAACTATTATATATCGTGAGTGTAGAAATGTAATATAGCAGTAGTTACTTTCATGCAATGTGACAAAAATATTACGTTGTTACATCGATGTTAAACAATTTTATGATGTTTTCATCCCACAAATGTACCATAACAAGTCAAAAATTTTCAGAGTTGACTTTCGATGGTTATTTCCTGGCACACATTTTATAATTACATTGGCATCATGTTATATGGTCATATCAATGTAATATAACATGTGTTGTATCTACTTTACGTGGATGTTGTATTGAACAATTATATTAGCATAATATAACATTTGTTATTCATCATCTTATGAAACTTCCAATGTCAGTAAAAATGACTGCCACACTGTAAATCCAAGTTGTAGACACTGTTAAAACGCTAAGTCTCTTCAATGTTAAATGTCGTAAACAAACTATAGATTCTTCACACACTACGAAACGTGTGAAAAGTGTCTACAAATCATGCATAGTTTGTTAATAGACATTTTACATTGAACACAATTTACGCGTGTTATTTTAACAGGCTTGTGAAATCCTGTGATTTGCAGTGCACTCTGCCAATAAGTGATGAAAATAAATTTACTGACCAACAAAGTAATTCTTATTACTAAAGAGACTAATATTTACGACGATTAAAAGTTATTCTCTTAATGTTTTGCAACCAGCTTCAATCGTGAGTTTTACTAATTATATACATTTTTTATACTTCTAGCGAACAATACGAAGCTGCTTCCAATGTAACAGGAGTTACTACAGTCCTTTAGTAAAATTTACTGATTTAATCGGCAAATTGATTTATATCCTATTCTAAAAGAGACATTGTGTCGCAGTGGCGCTATGATGAAATTGAAAAACGCCATATTTGATACATTAGCTACATTAGCTTTACCATTTATTTAGTAGTTGAATTATACAATGTTTTCCGAACTATTGTATTTTGATATACCATTTTATTGTCATTGGAAAAGTTCATATTCAATGTGATTAATTATTAACAATAAAAATTAATAAGTGAATTTTAAAATCTTAATAGAACCTTTCCTATTATAAAAGAGATATGAGCAACCATATTGAATTGATAAATGCCGTGTTGAAATATATATATTGTAACGTTATTTTTCTACCCCCATAAAAGGGTATAATCTATAACGCACCGTCCTTCAGGTGGGAATCCTGAGTAGAACCATCCCTGGGAGACTAATACTACTTTACTTCGGGCGCCAAGTTATTATTATTTACCAGAACAACTAATTCAAACTTAAATCTCAATATTTCAACTTACTAACTCAAAATTCACACAATATCTCAAAATCTCAATACTTGAAACTAAATTTCAAAGTTATATCTAACTTAACTAGAATGGTTCTACAAAAATCAGGATCCTCCTGAACAGTGCATGTCCTGGCCGTCAGTTGTGTATGTTGTGGAGAGGGGTCGTGTCCGTCCAACACGATATGATTAAACAAAAGGAATACCCAAGATAAAAAAGACCAAATAAAATAAACTAACTAACGGACTGGGTTAAAGGTTTCTAAACTACAATAAATCAATTAACAGATTCAACATATTTTCAAATCTCGAATTTATTTTGATATTTCTACTTAATTAGACTTTCTTAATAATTATCGGAACTCAAATCATCATCGCAAATTTCTATATCAAATAATCATTTATACTATAACAATCTTCAAAATGAATCAACTAAAACTCTGACTTGTTACAATCCTGGAACTCAAATAAACCTCACTTACTAACTAAAGAATATTTCTAAACTCACAAACGCAATATTATAGTTTTCCACAATAAACAAATCTTTAAATCAAATCAACTAAACTAAATCATACCTTCTTTATTGAAATCTGCAATTAAGCTTAAACTAACGAGTACGAGAGCAAACCAAGCCTCACGGATTTTCTTTTATTCAACAAAATAATTTTAACTAACTACAAATTTACCTCTTAACCCATTACAAATCCATTCTCAATAACTCACAAATTCTGCAGAGAGCTTTCGATACTGTAGCTTTTGTCAAACTTGATCATGGTAGTCTTGGACGTCCTTCAATTTGAATTGAAGATCCTTTTCTGATCTTCATTCTGCTTACTGGAGTCTTCTCTGCTCTTCTCTCTCAACAAGATGGTAATACTTGACTCTTCATGGGCACAGCATGCCATCGACTAACTAGGAGCGCAGTCCGCCATCGACTCCCAAAAATATTTTCAAAATCTCGTATTCCAATTTCTTTCTTCTCTCCATTCTCTTCTCCCTCTACTCCAAAACGTCTTCAATTTGTCGAATCACATTTTCTATTGGTGGTT